CATGTTGTGTAGTCATGTTGTGTAGACATGTTGTGTCGACTCGTTCACAACAGGAACATGTGGGAACATTCAGGTGAGGGGAGGAGCCTGTGGAGCAGCAGGAGGCGGGACATGACGTCTAAACTGTGTAAAGATCAGTGTTGTTGTTTACAGCTCGTCCACACGGCGTCGGCCCTCATCACCAAAACATCTGGAACCTCCTCGTCTGTCCAAGTGGACGTCTCCGTCCTCTGCGTGTGCGGCTCCTCTTCTTCATCCTGAGACATTTGTGTTCTTCAGYTTCACGTCCGTCACGTGTTAGAAACCTCAGAGACACGCCCACTCATATTTTCAGGGACATTTAATTTTTTTATTTCTTTACTCACCAACTTCTTCCTCCAGAAGAAGAAACTCGATGTTTGACAGTTAATCAAATAACCACGTAGCTGAAATGTGAGTTTTTGTGGTTTCACTGTGTTTCAGTGACTTTACAGTGAAACTGATCATCTACAGATCTGTGGGGAGTTTTATTTGTGTGGCACCAAATCATAAATCCATGATCTCCAGACTCGAGCTTCAGATCTTCTTCATCTAGAGAAACCAACAGGAGAAACTCCCTCGTCCACAGAGAGAAACCTCTCGAACCAGACTCCCGTTGGGTGAGGAGAGAGCGATGGGGAGGTGAGGGGAGAGAAGAGAGAGAGAGATGGGAGAGAAGAGAGAGAGAGATGGGGAGAGAGGTTTTAAACAACCTCCTGGATTCTGTCCATCCTCCTCACACTGTAACCGGAGCCGGCGGCACGCAGGATATTCTGACTGGACGGTATCTAACTTCCTGTGAACATTACCGCCGCCTCGCTCTGCCCGAGGTCAATCGGACGAGAGTGCTGCTGATGTGATGGACGGAGCTGATGAAGTGATTGGTGGTTGAGGTGGAGATTCGATTCCTGACGCAGCGGAAATGGTTCCTGTGAGGGTGGAGTTCATCAGACGACGGAGACGATGGAGGCTGAAGATCGATGGAACGTGAAGCTGCAAAACGTTTAAATCTGATCAAACACTATTTCTTCAAATAGAAAAATGTCTTTTCTACGACGGAGTATTAGGGCCACATTTAAAAAAATAATAATTGGGGAATTAATTACGAGATTTAACCCTAATGAAGTCCAAAAGATGAAGTATCTCCTTGTTTGTGAAAACTATACTAAAGTACAATTCCACGAAATGCTCCACGGCCCTCATTTTAACAACTGCCCTCCACCGCCATTTTTAATAACGAATTTATTTTCGTAATTAATTCCCCCCCCAATTTTTAAAAAATTAGGTCCTAATACTCTGTCGTTCTTTTCTTCAAAAGACAGGCAAAGACACTTTGTCTTTTTGGGAAATTTGGACATTGTTCTTAAAGTTGACTTGTTTTTGCTGAAAAATAATAAAATAGTTTTGATGTAAAATGTTGACATTTTCTTTCAAATCAAATCTTAAACAGAAACAAAGAATCGGGACGGTATGGTCGGTGTGTGGGGCTGCGTTAGTGCCCGTCCTCACAGATGCAGTTCTTTGGAATAAAAAGAAAACAGAATAAAGAATTAAAGCTCACAGAATTTATTTCCTGGAAATGACCAAGAGAAACATGTCAGTTGATTTATAAACAACATAAAACACATTTCTGCTTCCACAGCAGTCAAACCTCGGAGGAACTACTTTCTCCTGAACACGTTTGTTCTTGTCTTTCACAAACTAAACCTTCATCTTCACGGCTGCGTTTTCATTTGGAAACAAACGACTGGAGTTTCCAAGAGTCTTTAACGCGACAAACAGAAACTGAGATGTTTGGAAACGATGACGTAGACGCTAACAACCTCTTGCTGATCGGGTCTTTTTAGTCATGATGTTCTCTTCACTGATTCGTCAGGCTCCTGTCACATGACCCCCTCCCTGTCACATGACCTCCTTCAGGAAGAAAACAACCAGCTTCAGCTACCAGAGTAGAAACAACGTGAAGAATCCTGTTCGTAAGAAACTGAGTGACAATGTGTTCTAAAGAGCCGTCCATCCCGTTAACCAATCATTTGTCCTCACCTAGACTTCCTGTCCCGCCTCCACCATGAGTGACATCTACGAGTCAGCAGCCAACTCCCTGGGTCTCTTCAGCAGCCCCTGTCTGACCAAAGTGGAACTGCGACTCACCTGTAAAGGAATCTCAGACCGAGACGCTCTGTCCAAACCCGACCCCTGCGTCGTCCTCAAGATGCAGTCCCACGGACAGTGGATGGAGGTAGGTTGCCACGGCAACCTGACTGAGCTCAGCTCTAGGTTCTGTTGGTGTGATTTGAATGTTTTCATTCTCGTTGATTTCTACTCGATGTGACTTTTCATTTCTCCTTCGGTTTCTGTTCCTCTGAGAAACTCTTGTGCGGTTTGTTTACGATGATTATTCATCACATGAGACGATCTGCAGGTGGTGAGAGGACGGACACAGGTCCAACATCTGTCCTGAGGGATGTTCCCTCATAACAACAAGCAGCTGATCCTCGTTCACACCTGGAATCAGCGTCTGTCCTCAGGGAACTGTCCATCAGCTCTGATGTCAGGGAACATCTTTCATTCACGGAATGTTTCAATGCTGAACTTCTGCTTAACATATTTCAGAGTTTCAGTGTTTTATTATAATTTAAAGTTTTAAACACATGAAAAACACACACACACATACACACACACAAACACACACA